GCTTGAGCAAGACTAATCTTGTTTGAGCGAAATACCCTGCACCCAAACTCCAAAATTTTTCTCCCGAGTGAAATACTACTAATTCTTAATCATACTTTCTAAATTATCCAAACACTCAACACATTTAACAATCATTATTCAACTCACACTACACTTTGCATTCAATCAACATTATCATACAGCACAATAACCGCACTACTCCTTATTCGACAATTACATAACCTTTATATTCCAACATATAACTAATTCATATATGGTTCAAGTCTACGCAACTCTAATCAATCGGCTTAACAATAATTACATATAATTACATTAATCTGACAATTGTAACTTTAATTGTTTAGTTATTCTAAGTTTTAGCGATAGGTCTAGACTATTTAGCTATAATTATTGAGCAATGTAATTGTTATTTATAAAATTATATTTTGAGCTCCATGTAGAGTAATTGTTGTAAATACATATACTTATATAAATTTTTAGGTTGTATGAAATTTCCATTGAAGCTTTGTTATTCTGTTGAAGTTTAATTTTTGAATAGTATAGTATATCTTCTATACCATATATATACAATGGGAATAATGACGTATAATGTCATCGATATTGAATAGGAAATTAGATAGAACAAAAAAGATGGGAGTACTAATTAATTAATAAAAATACATAATTCAAGAATCAAGAGGAAAGAAATAATACTCAATCATTGAATCTAATATTAATAATATTTTAATTCGATGGTTAAAAACTTAAATTGAAATGAGACTTCAATCCAAACCAAACTATCATATAAAAATATTCACGTATTTGATTAACACAATATCAATCAAAATTCAAAAATCTCTGGACTTTAATCAAAATGTGTTAAATTTTGTTGCACCACTTAATTAACTCTAATTTTCTAAAATTGACTTACACACTTTAACTGAATAATGATGAATCAACCACTTTTGAAATAAAGTTAGAACAAAATACTTTTACTTTATGAAATTAAATATATTAGAGAAAAAAATAGAAAACCTAAATTTAGAATACATGTTGCAAACCATTCTCAAGAATGTTGCGCTTCCTTAGTCTTTGAATTAGATAATGAAATTACTCCTTCATAAGTAAAAGAGCACGAAAATTTAGAGTTGAGAAAAGAGGAAAGAAGATGTAAAAGAAGAAGAAAATTTTAAATTGAAATTAAATCTATCAATGTGTTTGTTCTTCTTCATCTTTTATTTTATTAGGTTCAAAATTTTAAAATAGAAGATAATCAAAATTCTAATGACAAGTAATCTTATTAAAAATTTGAAAATAAGATTGCACCAAATTTGAAATTTGAAAAATTCATAATGATGAAAATAAAAAAGAAGATTGGTTTGAGAAAAAAGCTTGAAGGTATTAGAGGGACTTTAAGAACCAATAATAATTGTGAAGATAAAGGAAAACCTAGAGAAGATGATTGTTGTTCTATTTGAAAGTAAATCCAATTTGGAGTTAGAAGAACCTAGGATGATAAATTACAAATACTTACATAATTTAGACTCTAATGGGTCCCATTAAGATTTAATTAGTATTTTAATTTAGTTATTTTAATATTAGTTATGACTTGCTTTAAACTTTATCTATGATAAAATTTTATTATTTTATTTAGTTTAGTTGGTTTTGAGCTTGTTGGCACAAGAAGTCTGTTAGGGTTGTGTTTGTTTTGGTTTATGAGCGCTAGACATATATATGTTCTTGTAGACACACTTTTGATTAGTTTTGAATGCAATTTGAGATTAAACACTCTTTTTGAGAGCTTGTGACTCTAAGTTCTTGAGTGAACAAATTTTTCTTAATCTTATCAAGAGACCAAGACTCTTGTGTCGATCGTTCCTTTGGCTAATCAATCTTGCGATTGTGTGCTATCTTCTTCATCTTTGTTCTATTTTCACTTTTATTATTTTTCTTCTTGTCTCAATTCTTGTTCTTACCTAATAATTCTATTTTTATGGTCTGCAATTCAATTCAAGATCGTTTAATTCAGCTACACAAATTATGTTTGTCATCACATAATCTAAAGAAAGATATACTCTAAATGATTTATAATCTCTTAGAACAGATTTGTAACTTGCTCAGTTATTTCATGTCAGAATTTGCTTTCGTTTAACTTTGTGCTCTAAATATAAATTATAGCCTTAGATGTTAGCTTTCAAATGACATTGGAATGAGTCCAATTAAATATTTGTAGACTGGATATGGCCTAAACACTACATATTGGTTAGAATCCGTATTTTCCTCCTTTTCTTCCGATTCAGGCTAGCTGTAGATGCTTTGATTCAACCTTTAACTTCTACATGAGAGTTGTAGGCTCATTTGTTTTCTTTCTTACAAAATAAGAATCTTATTAAAACGAGATTTAAAATTTAAATTATAAATCAAATACTAAATAGTGTTAAATATACATTATGCTAAAATAATTAAATTAAAGTCCAAGCAAGACTTTTTTCTTAAAAAAAAAAAGTAGTTCAAATCACTTCAATACAAAAGAAGATTAATATATCAAATATAAAAAAGTTATATATATCAAAGAACCAATTATGTGTAAATTTGAACCAAAGGCAAACGCCCTTACGCTTCCCTTTGTTAGACAATTATAGAAGAAGCTTGCGCAAAGAGTAACAAAGTTACAAAGAGAGTTTTAAATAAGATATTTTTATTTTATTATTGATTATTTTAATTTTATATATATATATATATATATATACACACACACACATACTTATGGACATGTTAACAAGATTGAACTATGCATCGTGAAATTGAAGTATTTTACAATGTCCGCAAGTACAAACAATCTCACAACACATAGTAATTAGGTTTAGGGAAGGACTTATATGCCCATCCCTCAGTCATACAGTCTTCAGTCTTACAACTCTATCTTAAAAATTTTAAGTCTCTATTATACATCAAAAATAAAAAAAATTAAACTAATTAAAAGTTAGAGTATCATACTAGGAACACAATGATGCAAATTAATTTTCAAATGGATACTCAATCACTTGCAAAGGCCAAAAAATTGATGATGCTAGAGAGAGATAGAGACAGGAGATGAGAGAAAGAAGAAAATGGAAAGTGAGGAAGAAAAAGGAGGATGTGCAGTTTGATGAGTTTCGCACATTATAGATTAAAAACTGATTTAATGAAACAATGCGTTTTATATGTTCAATTACAGATGAATTTATCCATTTATAAATTAGCCAAAGACAATTACAGATGAAAAAATCTGTTTGTAAATAGACAGACAAAAACTCGATAAAAATGATCATATTTACAGATAGATTTTTCTCGTTTGTAACTTCCGCTATAAATTTTCTCCTAATTTTTAAATTACAGACAGAAAGTCTATAATTCTGTCTATGAATTTTCGCGTCAAATGGTGGGCTATATTATAGACAAAAAATATAAACGAAAAAATCCGTTTATATTATAGACAAATTTCTCCAAAAAATAAAAAGTAAAAAATTTTAAATATCCGCTTATAAACTCATTTGTATTACAAACAGATTTTTTGTATATATATTTTTCATCTATATATAGCGTGTTTGTGGTAGTGAGTAATTAAATTAAGTGACTAGAGTTTGATTATAGTGTTTAATTTAAAAAATTTAATTGAAATTAAAATATAAAAAGCTTGTTTGTCATCAAATTAGTAGCCTAATTTATAAAGACATTTCAATATTGTTAAATAATAATGTCATTTAATTAAAAATTATTACATATAATTTTTAATTGAAATCACGCTAATAGAAAAAAAAATGTTAAATTTAAAAAAGTTTATAACTAAAACCAAAATTAATATAATTAACATTTATGGTTTTAAAGTATCATGTAAGATTTTTATTTTCAGTAAACTATTCTGTCTACGGATAATTTGTTTCAAGAAAAATATCCATAAAACTTATTTACCAGTTCCTCAATATATAATCCAGAATCGCATCGTTACCGACAAACATACTTTTGAACTTCTCTGACATTATTTAATTTACTAAAGTTATGTTATTGTGAATTTCAGTTTACATAATGTAGCGAATAAAATTATTATGAAATAAATCGTAGCAAATGTATTTAGAGCTGTATAATGGACTAACTCGGCTCATTTGGATTGATTTTCAGAGGGTTGAGTTTATCAATGACCTAATTCAACTCGGCTACTTTTTAAGTGAGAGAAGAAATGATAATCCGACTTAATCCATTAACCTAGTGCATTGATTTACCAAATTTAAAAATTATGTATATGAATTTAAAATTATATAAAAATAAGAATACAAATGTTGAAATAAATATTAAAAAATAAAATATCAAAATGGATTAATTAATTAATTTTACATAAATGTCAAGTACTATATGAGTCAACTATTTAGCTCACTCAAAATTGCTGTACCAAATCAATTCATGAGTTGTACCCCATTTTAATTGTCCTAAATGTGTAAGATAATCTAAAATTATATTGAAAAAAATCTAAAAATACACATAATATCAAGAGCTCCAAACCATTTTAACAAAGTTTAAATTTTAATATTTACAAAATATTTTATATGTTATATCTAAGAATTATTAGCTTTTTATATTTATTAATTAATTTAAAAGTTTTCTATATATTTAATTAACTAATAGTATAAAAATTTAAGTTGACAACGCTTCTAATGTAAACATTTTTAAAAAGTGCCAAGAGTCTTAATTTTTATTGTATTATTCGTCTTATTTATAGTGTTAAACAAAATATATCAAACCACATACAAGAATGCTTTTTGAAGTTTTTTCGTTTATTCGATCCATAATTATTACTTACGATTCAGCATGTTTATCTTTTGGAATGTGATTACTTAAAGAACTTACATAAGGATCGGTACCTTGCTTCCTATAGCAATAAAAGAATCTAATTAGATTACCATAAATAAGTGGCCAACGACAAAGAGAAATGCAGGTTCTAAAATTGGCATTCAACTCGGTTTCTAAGTGTAACTATTAACCAACGAATGGCCACTTCCACATTTTCCTCCCTCTCATGCACTCCCCAAAGCAGATTGCTATCCAATCAGAAGACACACACACCATCCCCATCCATGTCATTGTTATCGCCCCAAGTGGGACACAAAAGCCTCTACCACCCTCTAAGACACAATGTTTCTCCAATTCCCATGATGAAGCCTAAGAGAATTCGTGTTGGTGGCCTTGTGAAGGCATCAATGGATAATAAAAACGTTGAGGTATTCTCCAAGGAACATCTTGCTGTGTCTTTGGCTAAGTATGTTGCTGATCTATCCAATAAATTCATCAAAGAAAGAGGGTACTTCACTGTGGCTTTGTCTTCTGGCTCTATCAAGTACCTCAGGTAACATTTCCTTTTTCCCCTTATTAAGCTATATGGGTAGATAGAAATCACTGATAAAATGTGTACAAGGACTTGTAAGGTTTTTTCTTTGGAAAAGCTTGGCAATCAATTATTGATGATACAATGTCAGGAAGCTGGTGGAACCTCAGTATTATAACTCTATCGAGTGGTCAAAGTGGCATATATTCTGGGTGGAAGAGAAAGTGGTGCAAAAGACTCACGTTGATAGCAACTACAAGCTTACTTATGACGGATTTATCTCCAAGGTACACACACATATACATCTGTGTAAAATTTCCTGAACATCTAAAATCCAGCTTTCTGCAGTATCTCAATCTTCTCTTTTCTAAACTGATTTTCCTTGATCCTGCACTTATATACATAAGCATCACACAGACACACACACACGTGTAGAATAATTTTTAAAAATTTTAGTATAATAAATATTTTCTAATAAATAATTCTTGTATTTTTATTTCAAAGGATTGTATTTAAAATTTGTCTATTTTTTTGATTTAAGATGAATATTACAATATCACGTGGAATACATATTTCATAGCCAAACCTTAATTTATTATACAAAAAATTTAAGCGAAGCATCATAAATGGCTTTTGTATTATTTTTTCTTATAATTGAAAATCCTTCCAATAAGTAGTGTAATAAAAGTGAACAATAAAGTCAATGTTTTATCAACATGAAATTTTAATTTAGATAAGAAAATAATACCAAAAACACTAACATTTCGCCTTTTTTTTCCCCCAATTTATTGATTCCTGCTCTCATTGTTATCTTTGGCAGGTGCCAATTCCTCCACACAATGTCAACACTATTGATGATGCCTTACCAGCTGATGGAGCAGCTGATGTATATGAGACAACTCTGAGACGGTTGGTTACAAGCAATGTGATAGCTAAATCAACTAGTGGTTTTCCAAAATTTGATCTTGTGCTTTTGGATATGGGCCCTGATGGGCATATAGCTTCTCTGTTCCCAGGTCATCCTACACTCTCTGAGACTAAAAAGTGGGTTACCTTCCTCAAGAATGCACCTACCCCACCACCAGAGAGGATCACCTTTACCTTGCCAGTGATCAATGAATCTTCAAACATAGCAATGGTGGTCACTGGTGCTGGTAAAGCAGATGCAGTGTACTCTGCACTACAAGAAGCTCCTAGCGATTATAAACTCCCTGTTCAATTGGTTTCACCTAAAGATGGAGAATTCAAATGGTTCTTAGATAAGGGTGCTGCTTCAAGGCTATATAGGTAGATCTAAGTAATTGGTGAATTTCTATATAAGTATACAATCAGTTTCAAAAGGGAAAATAAGGCATTAAGATTGGATTGCTTGCCATGACCAAAATTATATAAAGGTTTTTTTATAGAGGTGTTTACTGTAGCTAGTACACAAGACTGTCAAGAAGTTGGGCTTTTCTTTCTTATATTTTAATTTTAATGGATACTATTTCAGTATCCTAAAGTGTATGATTTCTTTGTTAGGTTTCCGACAAGGATGATTGAATACAATAATGATATTTATTTATTCAATATTGTTTATATTGTATCATTTAATCTTTTCTACTTCTATAATTTCTTGTGAAATTTTAGTTAGGAAGTGGAGAACAAAATCATAACAAAATATCAGTAACGAAGAATTGAGAAGCTATTTGAACCAAGTGAACTCTTCTGTGAGGATTTAAAGTTGGGCGTTCTCTTCTTTTTTATGCGCCTATTTTCTGAATGTTGCAGATCTTTAAGGATGTTGAGGAACGTGTTAGCATCTCATAATCTTCATGAAATGTCTTACTGCAATAATATTACAAACAATTACCAGCAATCCGTATCTTTTAACATCAATTTTGAGAAGATTGATGTTCAGGTTTCTTTGCAGAATCTACACATTAAAGAAGTCCACCGAATGAATAGAAATGACCGCAATATTTTTCATTAGAAAAGGAGCAAGCTATATAGCTTCAATTCTCTTGAGACTTTGTATGTTAAATTGCTAGTAATTTACCCCTGAACATCTAAACTCTAGCTCTCAGCAGTATCTCATTCTTCTCTTTTCTTCGGACTGATTTTCCATGATCTCACATGTTTGGCCTATATGACAAATATAATTGTATGCAAACACATTTTTATTTGGAAAAAGTTCATTGATCCATGATTTAGACTCTAATTTTTGAAAGCAAACAATTCGACATCTTATATTTTTAAAAGCGTGTAAAAAAATCTTTCTGTTACTCAATTGATTAATTTATTCATTTTTAAAATAAAAATTACTTTAAAAATATCTTATGGGAGATTAGAGATTTAAAAATATTTTTGTCTAAAAAATGAAGAAATTGAATGTCTGAATAACGGAATGACTTCTTTGTATATTTTTAAAAGTCAAAGTCTAAATACAGCATACAAGGAGGTAAAATAGACTTTTTTCTTCTTATTTTGATCTAAGCACTTCTATTTGATTACAAGAACATCTTAATTATTATGTTTTGATAGAATTTAGATTATAATATTGTATGATTTAATTGATATTTTTTCTCATTAATTTTTTAGCTTGTAGTTATCATTTTAATTGGTTAATCTATATATTTTTTCTTTGTTTAGTAAATTCAAAATAAAAAAATATAAATAAAAAGAACTAAGTTCAGTCACAAAGAGAAAAAGTCGAAGAAAAAAGAAAAATGTGACTAAAACTTTTATACAATTAATTTTTTTTTTGTTAAAATAAAAAATATTTTTATTTTTTTATTTAATATTAATTTTATTATTTATTTTACAAATAAAAAATTAAATTAATTGAAATAAATACACATTTTTATTTCTAGTTACTATGTTCACATAATATCTTTCTTTTAATTACTCCCAATTAAGTGTTTATGTTTGTTGCTAACTTTTATCCTTATAAATGTTTTAAAAATTAAGAAAAAATTAAGGCAGAATTAGTAAATCGATCTTTAACTTTATTTATTATCTTTGTTTGATTATCTAACTTCTTTTTTTATTTTAGTCTTTTAAATTTATTTTATATTTTATTTTGGTCCTTTAACTTGAAATGTGTTTTAAATAATTTTTTATTTATTATTTTTGTTAACTCTATTTCTTTTTTATCTTTTTCTACTAGTACTATTTAATTATCATCTCTTTGTTTTCTTATCTTACTATTGATGTTATTTACCAAAATCAAACTTTCTTTTTTACCTCTTTCTTCTCTTATTCTTCTTTTTTTTTTTCAATTTTCTCTTTCCACATCATCATCATTTTCTTCCTCTTTATCCTTTTTCTATTGTGAATGGTTGTTGCATTTTGCTTCATAGTAGCATTAAATAGAGATAGTGCTGGAAAATGAACGATGGTAGTGGTGTGATTATATTAAATAGCAATGAATATGCTATATTAGTGTGTATAGCGTGAATGAGCATAGAATGAGGAAAGGGTAAATGTTGGAGTTTTTAGTGAGAGCATGAGAGTAAAATTAAGAAAAAAAAATAGAAAAGTGTTGGGTGTATGAGAGAAAAAACAGGCAAAATGAAAGTATGATGCATATATGTATGTTAATAAAAATGTGAGTAAATGAAGAGAGAGAACAATATGATGCATATATGTATGAAAAAATGAATATATGTATGTTGTGTAGTGATTGAGGGTGGAAGGAGATTGCACATGTAATGTTGTGTGAGTACATAAGCTAGTGGAATGGCTGATTCATGCAAGTTTTTTATTTTTTATTTTTGTTTTCAAATGTACATTTTAAAATAAAATGTACTTAGTTAAAATGAAGTTGAATTGATTTTCATTTTAGTTTCAAAAATGAAGTTGAATTAATTTTCAGTTTAGTTTCAAAACTAATTTAACTCAATTCTTCAAATAAAAATAAAGCTTTTTATTAACAACTTTTAATCATCTCTTACCATTATTATTGCTACTATTATAGCGCTTACCATTGTTGTGTAGTTGCTATCACTACTAGTGCAACTACTATTACTAATTGACCTTCCTTGTTAGCACTATCACCATTACCCTCATTATTGTCTCTACACAATCACCCATTGCATTGCTATCATCATTGCATTACCTTCATTGTCACTATCATTCTCACCATTATTACTGCCAAAACCATGAATCATTGATTGTCATCATCATCATTATTATTACCATCATTGATTACCACCTTCATTGTTATCCTTTAGTCACCTACCACCATTGTTGTCGTTACTAGCATTACTATTACTACCACTAACCACCACCATTTTATTGATGTCATTACTGCCATATTGATTATTGTCACTATAACCACTAATATCTACTTTCACTATTGATACTATCTTCACTATTACTATTACCACAATCACTATCACCACACCATTGATTGTCACTGTCATCATTATTAATATTACCATATCCACTACTTTTATTATTATTTTTTTATTGATTTCCTCGAGTACCTACCTTCTTTGTCACAATTATCATTGTCGTCATCATTATCACCAACCACCATATTTGTTAGCACCACTTGTATCAACCATCACCACCATTATCATCACTATCACCATAACCATTCACCATAAACATCATTACACTATAAGCAACTCTGTCGCATGGATCCTTAGGTGATTTTGCTCAATGTTTGAAGACTTATTTTCTTGCCTTAAACTTGAGAAAAATTAAGGTTGAATGAAGGCTATGGTAGAGGTGCCATTAGAATAGAACTAAGAAATAACTTTTTTAATCACTTAGGGATGAAATTCTAATTGGTCTTCGAGAAATTTTCCCTGAGAGATAACTTTTTTTTTTTTATTTCCTTTTGCTTAGCCAATCTGAAAACTCCTTTGTGATATAAAATGATGCCACCTTTGCTCTAAGAAATGGACTCAATCATAGTTGCTCTTAATTATAAGTAAACCAAGGGTATTTTAAGTATTTCAAAATCTAGGAGCAATTTGATAGTTTTAATTAAATAAGTGATGATAGTTTCAAAAATTTACTTTCAATTCTCCTAGTTCATTTATCTTTCTCTAAATTAGGGTTATTAAGCATTAATATTGTTTATTTCTTCTTAACTAAAGTCTTAATCCAACTTCTACTAATCAAGAGTATTTTGGTATTTTCACTTATCAAGTTAGAATATTTTAAAAATGATGATTGAATATTTGATAAAAATTATTATTTAAATTTTTTTAACATGTTACATGTCACCCTTCTTGCTTCAACTAGTGACAACCTCTAAAAAATTGTTATTGTCAATTAGTATTAATGTAATATACTAATATTTTAAAATTATGATATTAAAAAAATATATTAAAATTTACTTATATAATATCTTAGTCACATTTGTTTAATTTTCTATCCTCTAATATGTCGTAAAACTTTAATTATTTTTTATTTTTGTAAGCCATTTGTATTAATTACTTGATATTCACATTGTAGTTACAGTGATCTAAATAATTACATTTAACACATTAAGTTTTTTATAATTTTTTTCTAGTTAGGGTGATAACCATTTTCATAACCCTATTATTTTAATTTCTTTATGTCATTCTACAAACTCCTTTGTTTGGTTATTGTAGAACCTAAGTGGCCCTATCACTAAGAAAATGAGCAATATTTTGAGTCTATGTTTTGAGCTTTTTCTTTGAGTCAATAGGCTTTTAATTGTGCTTAATTGATTAATTTCAGCTATTTTAATCCAAGCTGCATTAGTTGAGCTTTAGTGAAAAAATCTCCTTAATTTCATTACTTTGACTATTCTAACCTTTGTTCATTAAGTCTATAATATTTGTTCCTGAGGTTTAAACTTTTGAGGACATTCCTATTTCTATAGAAAGTTTATTCATAGAGCTTTACTTTGATATATCATTTGTGAATTTTGGATTTTAGACTTGGAAGATATAAGCATTTAAAGCTAATGATGATTTGTTTACAAAAATTGATTACTTTTGGTACAGAAAGGAAACACTCCAGAAGAATGTGTCAAAGTACTAAAAGTGATCACTATTCTCACAAAAAGTGATCACTCAAGAACTTGTTTTGAAGAGTTCAGTCTACACATTGACATTATCCTGCACATATAGTGGACACTCCAGAGAGCTTTTCAAGGGAGAAGCCCACGCATTGAGACTATTTGTACCCAAAGTGAGTGTTCCAGAAGCTTTATTAAAGAAATGTCATGCGCGTTGACATTTTCTGAGCAAAAAGTGATGATCCGCAAGTTGTTTTATGTTAAAGACCCTACGCGTTGTTACTTTTTGCCTGAAAAGTGATAACGCAAAGTGCTGTTAAGAAATATGGCTATGCATGGCTCCTTTCTGCGCCAATAGTGATAACGCCAGAAGCGCGTGAATGTTATAAAAAGCTAGAAACTTAGATTTTTGGGATCTTTTCTCATTTTTCCTTTTCTAGACTCTT